ACCATCCTTGCATACCATGCTTTATTATTATGTGCCAAGTTGCCCGTTCTTGGTTTGCCTCTGGAGGAAGACCCTCATGGGAGAGGCATCCAATTGGGAAAAATATCTGCTAAAACGTATCAACATTTAAAAATGTTAAAACATCAATTAAAAACATATCAAGATTAAAATTATTAAAACCACATAATCCAATCCAGTATGGTATCAGTATGAAGCCAACAGTGCTACAAGTTGTGTTGCCAAGGGATGCCACAACGGAGCTGGCCTTCTATCTTTTCCACATGCAGCTTATTGCTCCATTAATGGGACACAGGAGGCACTTTGAATTGAGGGTGAAGTTAATATCCAGTGAAAGCCCTTTAAAACTGGTGTGATACAGTTTCGATGAGATGACTGTTAGTGGTGCTTAGTGTCTTCCATGTTGGCAGTGCTTTGAATCTACTAAGGATTTTAGTATGAATTTTCAAGGAGATATGCCAGGGCTGAAACCTATTCCCCCAAATATTTTCAGTTTCTTGGACTAGTTTCTATAAAATCCTGACCTAACACCCAAATGGAATGATTGTTCCATTGGCATGAAAGTCACTTGCCTTCATTGATTTTGTCTCCTGAGTTCATAGAATCATAGAATTGGAAGAGGCCACAAAGACCATCCAACTCAACCTATTCCCATGGAGACACAATCAATCAAAGCCCTCCCAACAGGTGACCATCCATCTCTGTTTAGAAACCTCCAGAGAAGGGGACTCCACCTCACTCCGAGGCAGAAAGAGCTGATCCACTACTGAGTAGCTCTTTCTGTCAGGAGGTTCTTCCTAATATTTTGACAGAATATACTTTTCTACAATTTTTTTTGTAATGCAGTTTGCAGCAATTGAGGCCATGTGAGGATAAAGGAAGAAAGCAGAAAGAGGAGACAGAAATTGGAACAATTGAAAAAGTGAGGCAACAGAGGATTAATTGGGACTGTCCCGTACAAATCCTATCAAACAAATGAATTTGAAAAATGCATTTGAGAAATATGCTTATTTTATTTCTTATGGCTCCTTAAGCCAGAATTAGAACTAAGGAAAAGAAGTCAGTTTGTCTTCAACCTTACAGTGAATTTAAACAATAATAATACTTTGGTAGGGCAGGTGGTTATATGCAATGATGTTATCACAGTGTCAAGCACCCTTCTATGGAAAAGGCAAGGAATATATTAAAAACTGCTATTTTTATATTTTAAGCACAATTAATAATTTTACAGGCAACTAAAGTTCTCATTTAGATTAAGAAAATAAAGGACAGAGATAAAAGCTGCATTTTCAAGCTGCTGAACAGTGATGCTTTATCCTATTTCCTCCCCCGTTCTTATATAAGACATTCTAATTATCCAATATCGAAATAGGTTTCATTAAAGAAAAGTGACACTAAATTGCCTCTTAATTTACATCAGAAATAAATCCACCAAGTATTCTTGGTTTTTTTTATAAAAGTCTAATTAGGTTGTTTTAAACACACACATTGCCTGTAGAATTATGTACTTGGTTTTAAACAGCATCATGTTCTGAGATAAAGGGAGTCAGTTATTAAAACTTTAATAATGCACTTGCGGCAATCTTGTTTTCAAAGTAATTTGCCAGCAAAGTACAAAGAGAAAACAGTGTTTGTGAACCAAACTAGCCTAATATCTATTTAACAAAATAGAAAATAATTGTGAAGCCATAGCAAATTAAGTAAAATATATGTATTTCTTAAGTACCTAAAGACCCTAGAGCAGTGATTCTCAACTTTTTATGACCAGGGATCACTTGTATAAGGACCACTTTGACCAGGAACCACTTGACCAGAGACCACTTGAACAGGGACTACTTTGACCAGGGACTAGGGACTCACCAACATTAGTACCAAAAGGGTCACAAATCAGTTTTTGGTCAACTTTAGATTCAGTTTGGATATTTGGGATGCTGATTCAGTAAATGGCATTGGATAGACCACATCAGTTCTAGTTTCCAATACAGAACATATGCCATTCAGTAGTTGCCATCTGCTCGCCCACAGAAAACCATATTTAATAATCTAGAGCTGATGTGATGGTAGTAATCTTTCATGGGTAGGCAGCCTCTCCCCTCCCAACATCCTAATTGCCTCAGCACTATAAGAAGGCTTCACAAGACCAATCGATCTACTTGCTGCGTGGTTTTGAGGCAACAGTGTAGTAATGGGAGGCTGCAGACCATATTTCCGTTCTTGTGAACCACTGGTGGTCCATGGACCACAGGTTGGGAACCACTGCCCTAGAGGCATCAAATATCGTTGGACCTTGAAAAGTATGCAGGGCAGCTCTGGTTAGTACTTGGATGGATGCCACAAAAGCTCGGTCCTCAAAACCCAGGAAACTTGCTTTGGAAGACAGGTCCTCTGCTTTCAAAATTTCAACAGATTCAAACACAGCAACTTGACGTCTTCCTGGGATGCCCTCAATGGAAAACATCACAGCTACATTGGAGGCTTCATCTCCTTTGTTCTTCTTCTGGGAAGAATGACAAAAAATGAACACTCCTACTTCATTATTTTTTCCCCTTACACTATTAAAAGAAATTCTGAAAAAGGCTAATCTTGATGCTATTAACAAATGTCTCTGTTTCTTTGAGTATGAAGACTATTAAGCAACACCTAGCCCGTATTAGGGCTGAAGAACCTCATTAGATATTGGACTACACCTCCCATCATTCCTGAGCATGGAATAAACAGAAAAAGAACAAAAAGGGAACAATGAGCAAGGTTTCCTAGGAGCAAGGAAGATTCAACAAACAGGCCATCTATTGATTAAATAACCTGAAATGATCCTACATTTTTGCAATAAACAAACTACCATCACCAGGATTTTAAAGGTGGCTCAACTTACTTGTAATCATGACAAGTGGTTGTGACTGTAAATATCATTTATTTCATTAAAAAATATATACATCAGCTATATTTTGCATCAAGATGTACCTTTACATTGTACCCAGAAAATGCAAATTAAATAAAACACATAATGTCAGAGGAACTTAAGAAATGTACAGTCTTATCTGACTACATTAGGGTTTCAATTACACACAGAAGTGTCACACATATTTACAACAGGCATCTCTACATTAAGGCAATACTTTATACACTTCTTTTTTAAAAGATGAAAGAGAAATATATACACTGAATAAATTATGAGAACAGAATAGAAAATGTTAAGACTAGAAAATAACCAGATAAGACATTGGATGGGAATAATGAACAAAGATTATATTCCAGCGATTTGAATGTATTGCATAATGTTCTGGTGGATGAAATTTACAGGAGCCACCCCATTAGCCCAAAGGCAGTGTTTGTCTTGTTGCTGTGAAACAACATTCATTGATGTTGCCAGGAAATGATTTTCCATGCAATTCCAAAAAGAGAATGTTTTAGAGTCTGTTTATACTTTTGAAAACACAGCCATAATCTTCTACAAATTTCACAATCTGCACACAGATGTTTAATGGAACTGAATGTCTGCCACTGTTTTCCTTTTTGAGGGTATCTGAAGCAAGAATACCCCAGGTCAGCACAGATTAATATCACACCCTAATGTTTACCAAAAGCTCCAATGATTTTCCCAGGACAGTTGAACTGGAAATATACTCTGTGTTTTAATCTAAATTTTAATGGAAATATTCTGGGTGCTGATCCCTATCTCCATATTGGATAGTGGAGACTAAAATGGACCAACATGGGCTGCCACAAGTATTTATTATTGTCAAGCTGAAATGCAAGTCCCAACAAAGATTTTGCAATAGAAACATGATAAAAATAGCCCTATGAGACCATCCAAATGTGATTCTACAGTTTAACTCAGTGGTTTTCAACCTGTGGTCCCCAAATGTTTTGACCTACAACTCCAGGAAATCCTAACAGCTGGTAAACTGGGTGGAATTTCTGGGAGTTGTAGGCCAAAACACCTGGGGATCCACAGGTTGAGAACTACTGGTTTAACTGAAGAGAGCCAACTGCATGGAGCAGAAGTAATATCAGTGCTCATAAAAGGTATTTTTAGGACGAAAACTCCCATAATATCCACAGACAGAATTAGTAAAAGGGTTCTTGGAACATTTTTTTTATACAAATCCATTATTTGAAATTTTAATGTAAACAATGCAAACTTTACTAATAGCATCAAAGTTATATATGTATAAATCAGAAGCTCAATGATAATTGGATCAGGCAATGTGGCTGTAGTCACATTTTAGTGATTGTGCCTTAGCATTGCGACATTTTGCTATGTCTGCTCATTGCTGTGCAGAAGGGACTCCCGAAACTTCCCTGAGTTTTCAAGATCAAGACAGCATGGAGAGGGCTGCTTCTGTAAATGAAGTAGATTTGCATCCCTACCACATATACGGTGGAGTATCACCTAACGTATTTGGATTCTAGCCACTAATTCTGCTTGTAAAAACCACACCGGCACACTGTGCTACTGATCCCTTGCTTAACAGCTGCTGAGGTTATGCAAGGAATTCTTAGGCAATTGTTATATGGTGAAGTGCAATTAAGAAATACTGATTCCAAGAAGCCTCCAAAAAGCCCCAGGGAACAGACTTCACCACAAAATAGAAGATGCTCAATATTTTTGAGTGAAACATTTGCATGGCAGTTGGTAAGAATATTTCTTCACAATCAAAAGCAAAAAATGCTAATAAAAATCCAGTCTTTCCAAATTTATATTCAATCATATTATCATTATGTCAGTGTTTTATTCATAATAATCCCTTCAAATGGGGTTTATTGCAAAATAAAGTATGTACCACCAAATCCGGATGGCTACCATGTCCATCAGGCAGTCAAACAACTGCAGGTTTTAATTAATAGCTTCAGCACCTTGGATAGCTCCTTTAAAGCTAGTGAAAGCCCGGAATGGATTCATTGCCTCACTGACATGGGAGGAGTTGCCATTGGTGATGCATATAGCCCAAAATGCAGTACTTAAATACAGAGACTGTACCGATTTAGGCTGTGATGGCTATAGTCACATTTTACAGATTTTATTTAATAGAGGTTGCTTTTGTTAATTTTATATGTCTGGTTTTATGTAAATGTGTTATTAATTTTATATGACATGTATTGCATTTTATGTGTTGTATGGCACCATTGTAAGCCGCCCTGAGTCCCTATGGGAGATGGTGGCAGGATATAAATAGTATTATTATTATTATTATTATTATTATTATTATTATATCTGCATTATCCCTGCAAACAGAATGGTTGTTTTCATTGACAGTGTTTCTGTACCTGGAGGCAAGGACGTAACTATTGTTTTTTTTATATAAGCAGAAAATGATCTTATTTTTACAATGTAATTTGTGGGAAATTTCACATCTACAGAAAATGGCTAAGAAACTACTACCTACACCCATCATTTGTTGGGAACCGCTTTGAGTCGCCAATTGGCTGAGAAAGGTGGTATACAAATACAGTAAATAAATAATAATAAATAAATCATCCTTTGCCTTGGGCCAGGCTGATGGAAAGTCGAATCCAGTATTATCTGGACATTTGCTGAGGATTGGTGGAATTGAATTTTATAAGGCACTGAGTGTTTTTCTCCTGTTAAAAGCACATTTTGATACTAAGATGTCACTATAGGTTGACAATCAAACATAAGGCAACCCATTTCTTATACGGATGAGGTTTAATGCTGGAATAATATAATTTCTTTGTATGACATCCTTGGCACTATCCCAACATTTTTTTAAAGCACCACTGAGAATAACCAGTAAAAATTTACAACATTCTTTCCATACAAAAGTAGCAGGAAAAATAAAAATGGAATGCCCTTAATTGTACATATACTGCACAACTGACAGAAAGTAGATAAAGAGCATTCTTCCTTTAAAACTGCTGCTTAATTGTGCAGATGACTAACTCAATAATGAATACAACCCTTGGACACGAACTATGAAATAAAAATCCATAAATAATACAACTAACATTCTTTTGGCAGAGCTCCAGTTAGGAGAGCGGTCCTCCTGATACAATTTTTTTTGGCACAAGTATTCCTTCAACTCCATGACACCCAATCTTTGCCAAGATAGATAAGAAATCAACTGGTGTTTTGATTGTGTTGATCTGTAATTCCATTTTTATATACAATACCTGGTCTCCCGTCTTTACTTTTTGAAAGAAGTCTGTTCTTAATCAAAGACTGAAAATGCATTTTTTGCTGTTGATTTTCAAATTCAAAATATACATCCCTGTGGAATGTGCTAAGGCAATTTCAGCACTGGAAGTTCTTTGAAAAGACTGAAAAAAGATGAAAACAAAGGTAAAAAAAGAAGAACATATTGGTTTCAGAGGTGTTCTCCTTTTAAACACACCACACACACAGTCAATTGTCAAGACTGGATTGCTTCTTTGAACCTGAGAAGTCATTGGCATAGAGGTTATAATGCAGAATTTTCCTGTCCATTGTCTTCAAGCAAGGGCTTGCTGCCCACATTTCCACTGACATTCACATCGCCATTGCTCTGAGGTTCCCTGGCTGAACGGTGTGTAAAAGTATAGTTCTCATTGTCAGTCAGTAACATGAAAGAAGACTCCTCCATATTGGGCTCTTTGGATGCCTTCCTCAGTGGAGGCGGGGAAGGTGGTTTGGTACTCATGGGGCCAGAAAAGGGCTGGTACACCCCAACCGCAGCAGTTTCTGGTATTGTAGATGTGTCCAGCAGGTGTCCATAAACCATGGATTCATCAATAACCGCATAGATATGCGACTCATTATTTTTCCGATCCTTCTTGAACAGTCCCTTTCGCCCGGGTAATTGGGTGTTGACATTGGTATTATATACGCCTACCATTGGGGTTGGCCCTTCCTTTTTCCCACTGAGAAAAATAGAAAGAAGACAGAAAAAAACATTAAACATATGCTGCGTTTGCATTTAAACATCCATACACATTTTCCCTTTCATGGCCTGCATCTGCAAAGCGTGCTACGCTATTCTGACCAAGCAAAAAAGAGTTGCATTTATTTAGAGTGGTCTCTTAGATGCCTAAGTTCCAGTACATACAATGATGAAGTATGCTTTATATGAAATGGAAAATTAAGGTTTGGTTTTTGGATTTTTCAATTTTTTTTAATTGTTTTAATTGTGGTTATATATATTACATAAAATATTTTTCAAATATTTTTGAACCAAGGTTGACTGAATCTGTAGGTGCAGAATACAAGATTATGAAGGTCTAACTGCAATTTGATATCTTGTTTCCCACTTACTCATTCCCAAGCTCGGACCAATATATATATATGCATTTTACATAGGGAGTACCTACAACTTCAAATGAATAATAACTCTCTAATTCTCAATATAGTCTTTCCCCAAGCAGACTAGGAACTTCCAGGAGCTGTGGTTTGGATTTTCAAAGCTTTGTCTTTATCAGTCCCTTGCCTTTGGATAGGTTTGTTCATGTTCTGTTACTGATTAATCCATCAGGACTGTTTATGGTGAATGAATACAGCTTTCTACCATATAAGGTAAATACTAGACTGTGTCATTTTTATGGTACCTTCTTTCAATTTTTAGATATCACGTGACTGTGCATTTTAACCTGCCAAGTATATGATAAACTCACTGGTTTTGCAGCTACAGACAAGTACACAAAACTAAGGCTTTAAATTAAGCCCTAGTGAATCACTGCAGGCATTGAATGGGGAAAATATAGTCTTATGGATCTAATAAGTTATAAAGGCAATAATAAAGAAAACGCCTGAAAAAGCTGGGAGGAAAAGTGAATCCTATTGCTCATCTTAACTGCAATAGATTGGACTCTGACAAATCCAAATTGGCAGGAGTCTCACATCCACAGAGGCAATGCCAGACACATCAGAGCTTGTTTGACCTTCAGCCTAACTTCCCTCATTCAGAGCAATGGCTGTCTCACTTTTTTTTCACAAAGGAACTGAACTGTGTGAAAACAGTTGCCAGTTGGGAAAAAGTTCTTGTGTCAGATCATACACTAATTTAAGCGTTTCATCTGATGCAACTTCCTATAAGTAACTATCCTTTGTAGCCTAGTTCGCATAATTTCAAAAGGTCAAGATGTACAGACCTCAAAACCCAATGTGACTCAGAACTCCTAAAATCTTACTTCTCAGGTCTTTTTGAAACATGGATCTCCACAGTCATGAAACACATTGTCACAACTACTTCATCATAACATGACTTCTGCTAGAATGGAAAGAATTGAGAAATACGGACATGTCTGCTACTCCAACTGTATTCTGACTGAGACAGTGGTGCACACAGCCAACTGGGTTATTCCAAAGGACATTTCAAATGTCAGTAAAGGGAAAGGGAAACTTGTCTGAACTGGGGGTCAACAAGTCTATAATGGGACTTTTGGAAAATGGCAATCTCTATAACCTTTTGGGAAAGTATGACCTTCCTGAGAAAAGTATGACTTGCCTAAGAAGAGTTAAAAACTTGCTTGAGTCAACCTTCTCCTTAGTGGTAAATATCCACTAGTTATCATGCAAGGCAATTAGGTTTCTCAGCTGTTAAACTGATATACCTAGATATCTCTTTGAACTGTTAGAGGCAAAGATATGCCAATGCACAACAAACGTATAATAGAGTTTCAGAAAAGTTATTTCAGTTGCCCAAAAAACATCTCCCCTAAAACTTCTTGGTTTAAAATCATGCTTTCAAGAGACCAAAAAATAAAGTTGTCTTTGATAAAATAACATAGATTGTTCACTCACAAACTTCATGTATTCAACATACAGATATATGTCTTATCAATCCAGTTACAAATAGGATTTTAAGTAGTTTTTCTGTGCAGATAGCACAGGACATCTTTCTTATAATCAACAGTCCATAGTCTAAAGCATCTCTCTGGACTGAGAGTCTAATATGATCTTTTAAAGCATTCTGTTTCTACTGACTTCTAAAAGCATATTGTTTCTAAAATGGAGTGTGAAACCTGAAGAGTCCCAGACCTGGTCACACTGTCTGCAGCCCCTCCCACAACATAAGAGTTAAGAAAAACTGCATACCACTAAACACATATACAATACAGTAAGCAATCTGAATTATATACAAACAAATTACTAGTGAAGGCTTGAATAAGGTTGCTATTTCCAACACGGACTGTCATGGAAATCACTCAGATTCTGTTGGCACCCTCTACTGAATTTCAATTGTACCAATTTGCCTCTCTCTTAAATGGACCATGAGAAATGAAACCCATAACATGGAATCCTTTTTGAAAGAAACAAGTTTGAAACATTAGAGCAAAACATTCATATTCTGAACACTACTGAACAAAATATCTTTTGAAGAATGCACCCACTGGGATGACCAGAAAAATCATGGAGAAGAAGAAGAGAATTTATTGTTTTGTTTATTTATTTACTATATTTAAATCCCGCTCCTCTCAATCCCGAAAGGGACTCAGAGCAGCCTGACAATCGGCAACAATTCAATGCTGGCCGAGATCCAATTATGTACTTTGGTATTCAATGGTTGACAAATAAGGACCTTTTCTCCTTTAGCCCTACATGGAAGCTAACACTCCTCTAGCGGGTTTCTCAGTCTACTGGATGGTTTTTTAAAAATATATTTGAAAATATTTTATTTTTTATTGATTTTAAATATATATAGCTGTATGCTAAATTGTAGCCTTTCTGAACTGGCAGTGCCCAAAGTGGAGGTAGACATAACTAGTTTCATGGACATCAGGGGATCCAAAGCAAGATTGAGATCCAGAGACAATGGCTCTTGTTTGACTGGTGGTATTTTAACTCTTTGCCTCCCCAAAACAGGCTCATAGAGATGCAATGGCAAGATGCAGATTTCTGTTGTTCCTTTATCATACACTTCTTCCAAGCTTAATTTACACCTCAATTCAGAGATGGCAAAGCAAGACAGGAAATATTATGATGTTCACATTGTGCCCGACACTTAATATCCAACCAGTCTATATTAGGAGAACCGAGACTATGAATCGCATTTTATCTATTCTGCAGATCTAATCTACTCCCAAATGCAATTGTGCCTGCAGTTTTAAACTGTTTTAAATCAATCCTGTTTTAACCCATTAATGGATTCAATAAGTTTAATCATTTTATTGCTTTCAATTGCATTGCTGTTGTTTATACCCATTTCACATGTAGGTGATCCTGAGATCTCAAGAGATAGGACTGAATATAAACATTTAACAAATGCATAAAAATAAAAAATAGTCAGAAGGAGGGCAAAGGTTGATTTGGATTCTTTCCAGAAAGGCAGGTTATTCACAGTTCATTTGCTTCTGGCCAGCCAATCTCTACTACAACACAGAGCTTCCTCTAGGGAAAAGCTGAAATATATTTTATCCTGTTAAGAAACACCTTGAGAATAAAGTGAACTCACTTCTTTTTCTTCTTCATGCAGAATATGATAAGCCCAATAACAGCTAGGACGGCTATCACACCAACCACTGCACCAATTATGATCGGCAGAGCTGTGGAAAGATAAAGGGAGAGAGACACTCAGTGAGAAACAATAAAAGGCTGCTCATCCTGGATATATGATGAACTGTTGTTGTGTGCCTTCAAGTGATTTCTGACTTTCTACTTCATCACACTAGAGAAAAAAAATCCACTTAAAATCTGGTTTCTGCCTCCTGCAGAATTCTGGGGTTTGTAGTTTAGTAAGGCTGTTAAAGGCTCCTCCCTCAACTACAACCCCAGAATTCTGCAGGAGGCAGAAACCAGATTTTAAGTGGATTTTTTCTCTAGTGTGATGGTCTCTTTAGAGCAGCCTAAGAGGAAATAATCACAGGGTTTGCCTTGCAAGATTCATTCAGAGGGGATATCCCTTTGTCTTTCTCTGAGGTTGAGAGAGTGTGATTTGCCTTAGGTCACTCAATGGGTTCCCATGTCTGAGACGGGAGTTGAACTTCGGTGCTCAGACATTGCACCATGATTGCTCTCTATGCAGCAGCTATATCTCACTCACTTCTCTACTTATAAAAAATGCTATGCCCATAAGTGTGTAGACACACACACACATACTGAATCCAGTGTCAATTACTTATTTTAAAGCAGTGGTTTCCAAACTTTTTTTTGACCAGGGACCACTTGACCACAATTGAAGAGAGATATTGACATGCTGGACTGTGTCCTGAGGAAGGCAACTAAAATTATCAAGGGTCTGAAGAACAAGCTCTATGAGGAGCGGCTTAAAGAGCTGGGCATGTTTAGCCTGAAGAAGAGAAGGCTGAGACGAGACATGATAGCCCTGTATAAATACGTGAGAGGAAGTCATAGGGAGGAGGGAGCAAGCTTGTTTTCTACTTCCCTGGAGACTAGGACACAAAACAATGGCTTCAAACTACAAGAAAGGAGATTCCATCTGAACATTAGGAAGAACTTCCTGACTGTGAGAGCTGTTCAGCAGTGAGAGCTGACTGTGAGAGCTGTTCAACTCTCAGCCCCGGCATGTGGTGGAGGCTCCTTCTTTGGAAGCTTTTAAACAGAGGCTTGATGGCCATCTGTCGGGGGTGCTTTGAATGCAATTTTCCTGCTTTTTGGCAGGGGGTTGGACTGGATGCTCCATGAGGTCTCTTCCAACTCTATGATTCTATGATCACTTTGACCAGGGACCACTCTCCAACATTAGTACTAAAATGGTTATGAATCAGTTTTTGGTCAACTTTAAATTCAGTTTGGTTATTTGGGGTGCTGATTCAGAAAATTGCATTGGATAGACTCCAACAGCTCTTGTTTCTGGTGCAGAACATATGCCATCCAGAAGTCATCATCTGATTGTCCACAGAAAACCATATTTAATCATCTATCGCTGATGTGGGTAGTCAGCCTCTCCCCTCTTGATATCCCCGTTGCTTCTGCACAATAAGAGAGTTTTGTGAGACCAGTCACTCTCTTTGCCACATTGTGCTGGGGCAATACTATAGTAATGGGGAGGCTGAAGACCATATTTACGTTCTTGCAGACCACTGGTGGTCTATGGACCACAGGTTGGGAACCACTGTTTTTAAGGGAGAGATACAAAAGAGCTTTTTAGGAAGCTGGAAGGGCAGACTTTCATGTCATGTGTGTTACATTTGGAGGAGGGGGGGATCAAAATTATTATTTTTTAAAACACACACACACACATACCCTACATACAGGTAAAGGCAAGACACAGTTCTCCACTAGAAGAATTTCAGAAAATATCTTTCCAACGGTTAAAAATTGGCTGATGAGATGGAGTGAAGAAAATGGGAAGAAGTAATGGGGGAAAAGAGAGAGAGATATATAGTTGGGAGTGTCATAAATCCTGCAACTAAAGAATGGACTTGCACAAGAATTTCGCCCTTTACAAGGATACAGTGGTTAGATAGTCATCCTTAAAACCATGCTTACTTGCAAATACATGCAATGGAAATATGAATCATCAGCATATTTTGATACACCCTTCCTACCTGACTTCCAAATGAGGTACTGTATTTGTACAAATAATATAGCTGCTATGTGGCTTTATAACCATCTCGTTTAATTGATATAATTCATCTTAAAAAGGACCAGGTTCAGTACAGCTGCTTCTGCCTTTTAAAACAAACTTTACAGCAACTTCCACAAAGCTATACTTCCACAAAACGTCCACAAAGCTTTCACATTTCCAACATTTTGTGTTTATATCTTTATAACATTTTCCTAGCTTCTGTGGGGTCATATACCATCTATGTGACATCTTAATCCAATTTTCCTTTAACTTCACAGCATATGTATATTTAAGTTTTCATCTCAAAAAGATAAAGAACTAGGCTTTCAAGAACAGAATACATTCTGGGATAAAATTTTAAAATCGGATAGAAAGATAATAATGAAGATCTATAGAAAGTTATTGGAATGTATTATGGACACATGTAAAGAAAAAAATACATGAAAAGATGGAAAGAAAATATTGGAAGGAACACAAAGAAATAAGAATGGGAAGAAATTTGGAGACTGATGCTCAAGTCTGATGTCAAATGGAAGAGTCATGTAGCCCTCCAGTTGCTTTAGGACTGTGAGTCCCAGCAGCTCTAGCCAGCACTGCCAATGATGAACAATGTATCCTGCCTTTTTCTTAAAATGGGATTCAAGGCAGCTATATATAGCATACAGATGACAGTAACATTGAACGCCTATGTACCAAGTAAGAAATTACTTTTTTGGCCTACATCTCCCACATTCCCCCAGCCAGAATGGTCAGGAACCATGACAGCTGGGAGACACTAGAATCTGTAATCCAAAATATAGGTTTTCCAAACCCTGCTTCTGACTGAGACACCGTTAGGCCAATGATAGTCAGAAATGGGTTCCTTTTTGGTAGTTATACTCCCATTTGTAGAATACATTTCCCTAACATATTCGTTCACTACCAAGTCAATATAATTTTATGCACATCAGCATTCAACTTGATTGATGTTGGGTGATTTTTGGTTACTTTTCAGTATTTGTTATTGTTGACTTGTTTTAACCCAAGAAATTTTATATACTTTTGTTGTTGTTGTTCATTCGTTCAGTTGTATCCAACCCTTCGTGACCTCATGGACCAGCCCACGCCAGAGCTCCCTGTCAGCCGTCACCACCCCCAGCTCCTTCAAGGTCAGTCCAGTCACTTCAAGGATGCCATCCATCCATCTTGCCCTTGGTCGGCCCCTCTTCCTTTTTCCTTCCATTTTCCCCAGCATAATTGTCTTCTCTAGGCTTTGCTTTCTCCTCATGATGTGGCCAAAGTACTTCAACTTTGTCTCTAGTATCCTTCCCTCCATGAGCAGTCGGGCTTTATTTCCTGGAGGATGGACTGGTTGGATCTTCTCGCAGTCCAAGCACTCTCAGAACTTTCCTCCAACACCACAGTTCAAAAGCATCTATCTTCCTTCGCTCAGCCTTCCCTAAGGTCCAGCTCTCACATCCGTAGGTTACTACAGGGAATACCATGGCTTTGACTAGGCGGATCTTTGTTGCCAGTGTGATGTCTCTACTCTTTACTATTTTTTCGAGATTGGACATTGCTCTCCTCCCAAGAAGTAAGCGTCTTCTGATTTCCTGGCACAGTCTGCATCTGCAGTAATCTTTGCACCTAGAAATACAAAGTCTGTCACGGCCTCCACATTTTCTCCCTCTATTTCCCAGTTGTCAATCATTCTTGTTGCCATAATCTTGTTTTTTTTTATGTTTAGCTGCAACCCAGCTTTTGCACTTTCTTCTTTCACCTTGATTAGAAGGTTCCTCAGCTCCTCCTCGCTTTCGGCCATCAGAGTGGTGTCATCTGCATATCTGAGGTTGTTAATGTTTCTTCCAGCAATTTTCACCCCAGCTTTGCATTCATAAAGCTTTTGGCAGGATTAAATATTATATATACACAAGCTATTGTTTGGGGGCCACGGTGGTACAGCAAGTTAAGCTGCTGAACTGGCTGACTGGAAGGTCAGTGGTTCGAATCCATGGGATGGGGAGAGCTCCCATTGATAGCCCCAGCTTCTGCCAACCTAGCAGTTCGAAAACATGCCAATGTGAGTAGATAAATAGGTACCACTCTGGTGGGAAGGCAATGGCACTCCATGCAGTCATGCCGGCCACATGACCTTTGAGGCATCTACGGACAGAGCCAGCTATTCAGCTTAGAAATGGAGATGAGCACCACCTCTCAGAGTCGGACTCAACTAGACTTGATGTCAAAAGGGAAACATTTACTTTTCCTAAGGTATTGTTTATTAAATTTTAGCATTTGGAAGTTCAAAAGACCTCTTACAATCCCACTGCATGCAAACTGATATCTAAGTTGTATCCTACGCAATTCTTTTCTCTAAGCTGAAAGGAAATCACAAAGACTTCCAGCAATAATGTTTTCTCTAATTCTGAACAACTTGATCCTGGGTTACTGTTTAATTCTTGATGTTTTTGTTATTTTAAACTATATATATATATATTCCTCTTTCTCCCAAAACTAACCTTTTACTGATACTTGCAAATTAAATAAAGTACAATATAGTTCAAAATGCAGAAAAAAAAGCAGCAGTAAAATGGAATGAAATTATTAGCAATATGGAGTGGCGATGTGGTGCAATGATTTGATTATTGGAATAAAATTCTGGACACTAGAGTTTGATTCTCAGCTCGACCCCTTAAAGACCTTGGAAATCCCTGAAAAGACCTTGGATGAGTCACATAATCTCAGCCTGAGATTACTCTCTGATAGGACTGCCTTAGAGCTACCATAAATCAAAGCAACTTTAAAGGCACACAATACTAACAATATTAAAGCAATATATAGTGGATTAAAAAATTAAAATTAAAAACAGTAAGTTTAAAAAAAATTAAAAACGGTAAGATTTAAAACAGTACGACACCCTTCTGAAAAGTCCTTTTCTCCAACCGGAATGGCAAAATCCTATTTTAAAAGTCTTTTTCCTACAATTTCCTTAATGGGATGGCAAAAGCCAACTCAAATAAAATAATCAAAGTCGAATGTGAAATGTTTAGTCCTTTTTAAAATTGTAGGGCTGCAAAGTCATTCCAGTCAGCATAGCATAGTGAAAGGTGGCGGCAACAGCAACAACAACAGGAATGGATTGAGGCAAAGAACAACAGATCAAAATATAATTGGTTGGATGTGTAACACCAGTTTTAAAATACATTTATAAAGAGCATATAGAACAATACATATTTAAAAATGCAATACAAACTTTAAAACTCATAATTTAAAAATCATCTGAACGGGCTGACCAGAAGAGACTTTAGTGCTATTTAAAATTCAGATAGCATAGCCAATTATTGAGTTTCTTCCAGTAAGTCATTCCACAGTCTAGGGCAGAGCTTTCCAAACAATTCACATTGGTGACACACTTTTTAGGTATGAATAATTTCATGACAGTTATTCAGGTTACTAGCAAACCTGAGGTTAAACCAACCTCTTATAAGAGATACGGACGCATATAAAGCGTAATAATGAAATGTATAGGGACACGACATAACTCATGAAATACACACACACACACACACACACATATAATTTATTTATTGTTAATTTCATGTAGACTCAGAGGATTCTTGTTGCATTCACGTGACATCTAAACACTGCAGCCAACACACTAACGTGTTACAAGACATGATTTGGAAAGCTCTGGTCTAGAGGATGGCTGAAAATGTTGCACTCCAGAACAGGAATAACCCTCTGACTTTAAAACACCACACGTTGAGTAGGGGAAAACAATCATTTTATTGAAAATAAGTAAAAGCAGCAAAATAGAAAAGGCATTTTAAGGGGATAGATGAATCCAATTAGATAAAAAGATAAGCAGGATCAAATTAGTCCAAGGTAGAGTTCAGCAATGTCCAAAAGCAAAGTCCACAAGTCTCTAACAAAACCCAAAGAATCAGGAAACGTTGATCCAAGGCCTGAGCAGGTAATCACAAGAGATAAAAAACCAAATAGGAAACAAGAAATCTTTAAGCATGAATCTTCCAAGCAAGGCTTCTATGAGACGAGGACAAGAATTTAGCAGGATTCTAAACGATGCTTCATCTGGTAATATTTTCCATACTTGAAACTTTAAAATCTTTCCAAGCACTCAAGAAACTGGGTTCACTTACCTTTAATGGCCCTTATCTGTTTGTGTTGAAGCCTGGCAGAACTCTGAAGGCCTTGCTCGGCCTATCTGTTTTTACTAATATCCGCCTGCCTATCTCTATGCTCATTAGTCTCCACAGGTGCCGAGTTGTTTTTAAGCCCCAAATCCTGGGAACTCTCTAGAAGCAATTCAGGGAGTAAACCGCTATACCCTGTAGGAACATTCTCATGAGAAACTACACTTGGAATAGGTGCCTCTCTGTCATTCTCTGCATCAATATCACTGATCACACCATTGCCATCTTGAACCTCATTTACATCATTGCCCACATCCAAACCACCCTGATCCTGAAACACAATCACAGGTTGAACTCCAACAGAAAAATGGTTTTCTACATAACACTTATCATCCTAGTCCTGGATGACTAAATGTTCTCCAGTGTATCACGTAAGCCTTCCCTCCAGTCGTTTCAAAAGAATACCATGGTTAAGGGCACCAAACACTGCTCAGCGGTCCAAAAAGCTTCAGCAGGACACACTTCCACTATCAATGAAGATCATCCACTAAGGCAACACTAGAAATCTCAATTTGCATCCTGGTCTGAAATGGGTTTAGAAAACACGTATCATCCAAGACTGTGGGATCTGCAGTTCCACACTATATGGTAGACTCTGCTTTCCCTAGGGTTCATCTCCATAGCACAAATGGAGTGCATCACAGTAGATTCATAAGGATGAAGACAGAACTGAAAAGCTAATGTTACAGGGCGTTACAGAGATCTTTGAAGGCGGAAACAAAATATAACACTCACCTGTGTTTTTCTCAACAAGTGTCACCATGAATTGCATACTCAGCAGCTTCCCGGCAGTCGGTTTACAGTTAGTGATGTTTACCCAGAAGTGGTCACGGATTTCTAAAGCTCTTGGCAGTTTCTCATCATCACGACATACAATTTCTTTTGCCTCTGGATTGTGTTCTCTAATATAAATATGAGCCCGGTTTTCAACACAAGTTACTCCCATCTTTTCACTTAAGAAATCTAGCTGTCCAACTCGTTTTCGTGGGACACTAATGTTCCAATACACTGATTTATGAGCAGGGAAGCCTTTCAACCAGTCAGGGGTCTCTAGATACACTTTGGCTTTTGGATCTGGAGTCAAACTGAAAATACAGTCGTCTGTAAAGACACAAAAAGTAAATGTGCAATGATATTTCTACTCAAAAACACAAGTTATAATGAATACTTTGGCTAAGGAAATATAAATTGAGCGACGTTTTCAGATGTGTAAATATTACAATATAAGTTATTGGATATACAGGGTCTTCTCAGTGGTGGCCTCTTGGCTATGGAACTCTCTCCCCAGCAAAATCAGGTCAGCCCCCTTCCTCCTGACCTCCAGAAAAAAATTAAAAACATGGCCCAAGCCTTTGACCAGTAATGCAGAGAAAAAGTAAAGATGGAATATATGCAATGATGATTAGCATGACTCCGTGACAATAATTTTCAGATTGTGTGGTTTTTAAGAATGAGTTTTAACATTTATATTGCTTTTAAGTTTTATGTTTTCAATGTATATGTTTATTTTATTATATGTCTGTTTGATATGGCATCAAATTGTTGCCTTTCATAAGGCTGCTCTGAGTCCACTTCGGGGTGACAAGTGCGGGGTATAAATACAGTAAATAAATAAATAAACACAAATGCTTATGTAGAGGTAAAGGTAAACATTTTCCCCTGACATTAAGTCCAGTCATGCCCAACTCTGAGGGTTGGTGCTCATCTCCATTTCTAAGCTGAAGAGCCGACATTGTCCGCAGACACCTCCAAGGTCATGTAGCCAGCATGACTTCATGGAGTGCTGTTACCTTCCTGCCAGAGCAGTACCGATTGATCTACTCATATTTGTATGTTTTCAAACTGCTAGGCTGGCAAAAGCTGGGGCAAACAGCGGGAGCTCGTGCTGCTCCCTGGATTCGAACCTGTGACCTTTCGATCAGCAAGTTCAGCAGCTCAGTGGTCTAACCCACTGTGCCATCGGGGGCTCCTGCTTATGTATAGATTTATAAATATTAGTTTTAAAAATGATCCAAACAAACGGTATCAATTTATCCATGGGTCAATGTCAGTACTGTACCTTAGCTCTTTTTTTAAAAAGAACCATGTATAAATAGAGTGGCAAAGGCTATTTAAAGATGACAAAGAGTTTAGTGTGTGCCAGGAGAACCTAAAAGAAGCAGTGACTCCCTTTGTTTGCTTCACTGAGTTCCCCATTTTGTTTTGCTCCCAAGAATATGGAGAGACATAAGATGCCTGCTGTGTTAGTTAGAAAGCTAGTTAGAAAGCTGTTTACTTTTTTATCTAGATATGTAGTTCTTTAAATCAAGTGTTTCATAACGTTTAAGCTTGACTCTGCTCATGAATTGCTTAAACTCAATGGCTCTACTGCCGACACTAGTAGCTTCTGATCTGCTAAACTGTTGCTACTGTTGTTGTTACTGCTTTACTTTAGAAATGCTTTTTCCTTTTTGAAAATTATCTCCCAAGAGAAATGACCTCTACATGCAGGCACAAAGCAAAACACTTTGAATTAGATAATCTAGAAAATGGAAGTGAAAGCAAGACGCTAGGGATGCACTACAGGGCTTCCTCTGTCCCTAATTAAGAGCCACTTTGAGCCCTTATACAATATAAAGGTGGCACAAGCAGATTAAACTGCTAAACTGCAGAATTTGCTGACCAAAAAGTTGGCGGTGTGAATCCAGGGAGTGGGGTGAGTTTCTGCTGTTAGCCCCAGCTTCTGCCAGCCTAGCAGTTCGAAAACATGCAAATGTGAGTAGATCAATAGGTACCACTTCTGTGGGAAGGTAACAGAACTCCTTACAGTCATGCTGGCCACATGACCTTGGAGGTGTCTATGGACAACGCTGGCTCTTTGGCTTAGAAATGGAGATGAGCACCAACCCTCCGAGTTGGATACAACTAGACATGATGTCAGGGGAAACCTTTACGTTTACTAAATTGATAAGAAAAGTGAAGTCTGTGCAGGACAAAGTAGAACAAAATCTGAAGGAAGCTTCCAAATTGTCTTTACACGATTCATCTCTTTGTTAATTTGTGCCAGGTTTATTTGACCTGGTTGTTTCATCTCATGTGTGCATGTTGTTGCATTCTGAATAAAATATTTGCTGAAATATCTTGCGCTGCTCTTTTTTGTGGTGTGGAAACCTATCCTTATTCTTTCCATGTTATTTTCTGTCAAAGACGTAATGCCCAAGAACTTATCAACTTCAGTAACTGGGATAGATCTGCATTTACATTTTAGTTATATGAGTATCTTTAAACTTCTTTAATTCTTAGACTGTAGGCAAGGCAATCAAAGCAGAACAAACTCACCAGTTATTTTTGGCACAAAAGACAGGTGAAGATCCTGTTTCTGGAACTCAGTAAACCACTTATCCCCATATGTCTTAAGAGTAATGGTGACATTGTCTCCAGTCACAATTTTTTCAATGGCTCCCCCAGGACAAAAGTGGCCATAGTTCATTATTCTCCCTGGGGTGGTACCATTAATGGTATAACTATAACTTCCACTGCACAGCTGGCTCTTCTGTGGAATATGTTGTTTCAGTTTCAGGAATGAAGACCTAATTTCTAGGTTGAGGTCTGTTGGAGCCTGGAGTTTCCATATAAATTTCTCAATTAGGATTCGCAGTGCAGTAAGAGACTGCGGTACAACGAGAGGGAAGTCCTTGTAGCAGCTTCTTGAATCCCAACAAACTGCAATCAGAAAGACATTAAATCATAGTTAGAGCAGATATCATAATTAGCAAGGGCACATTTGTGAAGCACTTTTTCAACTTGACAAGCTACTTCTAAAGCCCACAAATGACCTTATTTCACTGCATAACAGTTTCCACTGCATAATAACCGCGCCCTCATTTTTGGGGTGGCAAATTTGGTATTTTTGTGTTCCTTGCACAACAGTTGCAGAGCCATTTGGGGCTGGTTCTGTTGGAAATAGCAACCTTCTTCAAGACTCAATTAGTTATTTGTTGTGTATGTAATTCAAATTGTTTAGTGCCCACCAAAACCCTTCCAGTATTTGCTGTTGGTCATGGGAGTTCTGTATGCCAAGACTGGTTCAATTCCATTGTTAGTGAATGCTCTTTGATTTTAGCTTAACTATAAATCTCAGCAACTACAACTCCCAAATGACAAACTCAACCGCTCCCAATCTCCCTGGAACATGAGAGAAGCCTCCCACAAGGATGGTAAAACCATCAAAAACATATGGGTGTCCCCTGGGCAACGTCCTTGCAGACGGCCAACTATCTCACACCAGAAGTGACTTGAAGTCTCTCAAGTCACTCCTCACACACACACAAAACATCTGAAAGAATGCAAATGTAGAGAGTACTCCACAAAATGAGGTGTCATCATGAAGACTACCCTCCATGTAATTTCTACTTCACCCATACCAAAGTAAGCAAAACTGGTTGGAGGGACCAACAGCAGCAACTAAACAGCATTAAAAAAATGCAAGCCAGCATACAATAATAATAATATAAGGGCCTCAACCCCATTTTCAATAAAGTTTGCTTGTTTTGTTCATACCTATAGATTTCTCAGCTATCATCCTTATATTCTCCAGATTTCGGCACATAAAGATGACCGAGTATTTGTAGGCAGATTGTAAAGTCACATTGGGTTTACAGTTTTTGCTGGAATCAATACAGATTGAGCATCCTTGCTCGTGTTTCGGAAAGGACTCAGGCCTTGTCGGCTTAGAATAAATCGTAACGTTCATGTTCTTCTCTTTCCTTAGGTCAAGGATAATGGTTACATCTGAAAATGAGGGGAAATGAGATTATTTTAAAATAACTGTGGTCATCAATATACCAGATACTGAAGAAGACCCATCTCTTCCGGCAGGCCTACCCAATTTGTTGTTTGTTTGTTTGTTTGTTTGTTTATTTACTATATTTATATACCGTCTCTCTAAGCCCGCAGGCGACTCAGGACGGTTTACAGTTGGTGCCAAGACCACAAAATACCATATCAATACAATAAAAACAATTGTACATAAAACCATAACAAAATCAATAAAAACATGAACATTAGGGTCTCCTACTAAAAACATTGTCCTATCACATCGACCAGTGTTGGAAATAGCAACCTTATTCAAGCCTTCACTAATTATTTGTTTGTATACAATTCAGATTGCTTACTGTATTGTATATGTGTTTAGTGGTATGCAGTTTTTCTTAACTCTTATGTTGTGGGAGGGGCTGCAGACAATGTGACCAGGTCTGGGACTCTTCACGTTTCAGACTCCATTTTAGAAACAATATGCTTTTAGAAGTCAGGAGAAACAGAATGCTTTAAAAGACCATATTAGACTCTCAATCCAGAGAGATGCTTTAGACTATGGGCTGTTTATTATAAGAAAGATGTCCTGTGCTATCTATACAGAAAAAACTATTTATTATTATTTATTATTATTTTATTTAAAACTTTTATATCCCGTTCTTCTCTATCTCCGCAGAGAGACTCAGAACGGCTAACAGCAAAATTCAATGCAATACAATAAATAACATAATAAAAAACATACAATAAATAAGTTCTAAAATACATATAAAACAATTCATCACATTAAAAACATCCAATTCAGTCCAGAACATAGTGGTCAAATAACTCTTAGTCTATAACAGGTCACCATCAATCTGCAAATGCCTGACTCCAAAGCCATGATTTTAGCTGTTTCCTGAAGGACACGAGGGAGGGGGCAGACCTAATCTCGCTGGGGAGAGAGTTCCATAGCCCGGGGGCACCACAGAGAAGGCCCTGTCTCTTCCCCACCAGTGCAGCTGCGAAGGTGGTGGGACCGAGCAGGGCCTCTCCGGAAGATCTTAAAGTCCTTGATGGTTTATAGGGAAGAATACCTTCGGAGTGGGGTGAGCTCCCGCTGTTAGCCCCAGCTTCTGCCACCTAGCAGTTCGAAAACATGCAATGTGAGTAGATCAATAGGTACCGCTGGCACAAAATAAGGCTCTCCATGCAGTCATGCCGGCCACATGACCTTGGAGGTGTCTACGGACAACGCTGGCTCTTCGGCTTAGAAATGGAGATGAGCACCACACCCCAGAGTCAGACATGACTGGACTTAATGTCAGGGGGGACGTTCGGACAGGTAAACCAGGCCAGAGCCATAAAGGGTTTTGTAGGTTAAAACCAGCAGTTTGAATTGTGCTTGGAAGCTAACTACTTCAAATCCTATTTGTAACTGGATTGATAATCAATCAACTATGTTATTTTAACGAAGACTACTTTATTTTTTGGTCTCTTCAGAGCATGATTTAAACCAAGATGTTTTAAGGGAGAGTAGATTTTTTTTGGGTAACTGATATAACACTTCTGAAACTCTGCTCTATGTTTTTTGTGCACTGGCATATCTTTGTTCCTAATAGTTCAAAGAGATGTTTTAGGTATGTCAGTCTAACAGCTGAGAAACCTAATTGCCTTGCATGAATACTAATGGAGAGTTACTCCTAAGGAGAAGGTAGATTCAAATGAGTTTTTAACTCTTCTCAGAAAGATCATACTTTACAAAAGCTTATGACTTCAAACAAGGTCTTTCCAAAAAATACCCAATTTTCCCAAATGGTTAAGAATATTCATTTTTCAAAAGGTTATGGAGATTTCTGTTTTCCAAAAGTTGGATGCATTTATCAGTGAATATTAACTTGCATTTTAACTATGTGTACCTCATATTTTATAGTGTTTTATCACATTGTTTTAACTATGATGTACCCTGCCTTGAGCCGCAAAGAGAAGTGGGAATTTTTTTTTTATCATCATCATCATCAACAACAACAACAACATTATCCATTGTCTGTTCTCTATAGCCCCCCTTAACAGCTCATGTTCCTGAAAGGCCACTTTGACATTATGGGATGATGAAGGCAACGTCACAACTTCTAGCCCCCACAAAAGCATTCCATCAACCAACGCTGTGGCCATAATAACATTTTATCCACACATCTGTTTTGTCTCCAGGATACAATACATTTGGATTCATTTGTTTGGGAGGAAGGGAGGCATCACTTTTTAATTGACTGGATCTGGATTGTGGGTTATAGCTTCTGATCCATGCTCTAGTTTAGAGGTGGGCAAAGAAATTACTTTACTCAGGATTAGTGTATAATCTGTCCCACAAGCCCCAGAGTACGGTTGAAGCACCTCTGGCCCTTACAGGTGTTTCTGAATACAATATTCTTCAGTTCCACACACCATGCCCAGGGATTGCTCCGAGGGAGTTTTAGCACATCCATTTAAAACATTCATCAAAGGAAAGCAGAAGAGCAAAAGGTAGCGACTTACTCTCTTCGTTTTTAGGATAATGGGCAGTAACATCAAAAAGCACACTGAGTACTCCTGGATCCGCATCTATTTGATCACAACCCTGCAGAGAAAGGTTGAAACTACCAGGAACGTTGGCACGTTGCCCCTTGTCCAGTACTAATACTTTCTCCTGGCCAGAATATAATTCCAGCTTCACAAATTTGCGTTCACAGTTTGGTTTGATATAGTCTTTGATGAAGACATGGGCTCTTAAATTGGATGGAATGACAAATTGCCATGTCATGAGCTCATCTTCTGGAAACCCCAGTGGATAGTTGGCAGACATCAGGGTGGTAGATGATTCATTTTGAAACATGGATTCAATAATGCATAATCCTTTTGCAAGACAAAGAAAAAAAAAGAGATAATATATGGAGGGAAATGTGTAGGTACGTGAATCTTTCTGTCCCACTCACCCACATGCAATCTTAGCCAAAAAACCACAAAGTAGTATATTAATAAATCTTAGCACTGTGACTCTAACATTAAATATGAGTTTTGCTGCATGGCAGACAGTCTTCCTTGCCAGCAAGTAGTAATTTAGAACCTAGCAATCATTAGAAGCCATGGGCTCAAAAGACTCAATGTCATTTTAAATATGACATTGAGTTATTATTATTATTTAAAAAACAAAAAACTCACTTAATTGTTGATACTGCTATTAATATATTAGTCAAAGAAATATGTGATTTTCAAACTGGTTTTCTTAAAAAAAATAGAAAAACAACCCACCCACCCCAAAAAAGCCCCTTTAAAAACATCTTTTGGGCAAAACAGTTATCTGTGCACATATACAAGTTATGTGTGAATGCTATGGTTAGTGATGCTTAAAAGATTTTGTAACACAATTTTGTTCCTGGGTTATAAATGTCATTTCTTAATAGGTTATATCATAAAAGCATGGAAAAAGTTTATTAAACTGCAAAAACTTTGGTTTTGTGCAGAGGTTGTGAGGTCTGGTCTTTAGTTTATCCCATTTTTGTGTGTCTTGGAACAGTTTTTCCCCATAGAGATGTTCAATGTATTGTTGAAGGCTTTCATGGCTGGAATCACTGGGCTGTTGTAGGTTTTTTTGGGCCATATTGCCATGTTCTAGAAGCATTCTCTCCCAACGTTTCACCTGCATCTATGGTAGGCCTCTCAGAAGTTGTGAGGTCACAACCTCTGAGGATGCCTGCCATAGATGCAGGTGAAACATCAGGAGAGAATGCTTCTACAACATGGCCATATAGCCCGGAAAACCTACGACAGACCACATTTTGCTCTAGTTTTTTAATAGCCCCTTCTACACTGTCCTATATCCCAGGATTCGATTCCACATTATCTGTTCATCTCAGATTATATGGCAGTGAAGACTCACATAATCCAATTCAAAGCAGATAATCTGGGATCAGATCCTGGAATCATATCCTGGCTGTGTAAATCCAGCTAATGACTATCTCATAGAATTTGATATGGGATATTTATTGTTGTGTCTATGACGCAGCATTGAATTTTTACTGTAGTTTGTAAGCTGCTCTGAGTCCCCTTCAGGGTGAGAAGGAAGGGGTATAAAGATAGTAAATAAAATAAATAAGTACTCTAGGGGGCTGCATGATTCCCACCCATTGCAGAAGAACCATCTCTAACAAATACAGCCTCCTTCTTACTAGTAATTAGAAAGCAAACCTGGAGGATCTTTGTTCAGACAGACAGCTACGAGGGTTGAATGAAAAGTAATGCCTTCACCTTTGTTTCTTGGGTTTGGATGGGAATATTTTAATAAATCAAAAGCAGAAATAATCCTTAGAATGTGCTCTTTAACTACAACTATTGACTTTTCGACATAATTACCAGACAATTGGATACATTTCTGCCAACGATGAACAAGTTTTCTGAAGCTGTCACAGAAGAAGTCTGTGTGCTTTCATTTCAGGTGTCAGTATCCTGGGTACCCATCATGCACAGATCTTCTGATAGCCAAGCCAAGCCCACACATTTTTCTGATATGCCGATTATGCTTGAAATTTCTCTCTCAGTGATACGAAGATCATCCTGAATCAATCTGTCAACCTTTGGCTTGTGAAACTCGGTGGTTGCTGTCACAGGACATCCAACTCTTTGTTTGTCAAAGTCAGATGTTCCCACCTCAACATCTTTAAACTTACTCGCCCAACGATGCACAGTACTCACATCAACACAATCACCATAAACAGCTTGCATTCTCTGATGAATCTCCTTTGGGGTGACACCTTCTGCTGTCAAGAATTCAATGACTGCACATTGCTTAAGTCGCATTGACCGACTGTCTGCGCAGGGTTCCATACTTCGCACTTTAACAACACAACTGTTCAATGCTAAGGCTTCAAAATGGAACTGTAGAGGAGAGTCTACTGAACAAGCCAGTACCTGTCACATACTAGTACTGCCATCTGTTGAGGAGTTACGAAGGTGGAGGTATTACTTTTCATTCAACCCTCTTATGTTAATCACTTTCAGTATAAAAAGAGGGATAAAGTGTTGTAGCACCTGTATAATAAACTATAGTTAGCACTCCACATTCACTGGGAATAGTGGCACTGGCCCACGGTGAAAGTGAAAAACTGCAAATAAAAACTTTGCTATTTTTTTAACTGAGAGAACACATTTCTAGGAATTTCTGGGTCTTCTAGTACAACTCCATGGTCAACTTCTACTGGAAGCGGGCTAAATAATTGTTTGCAGGATCCAGAAATTGTGTTTCCTCTAAATATCTTTAGTTCCTCCTACATTATTGGAATAAGCTGATAACAGTTACACTGGAGGGCCTAGAGATTCCTAGAGATAACATTTTAAATCAAATCCATTAATAGTCAAATCCACAAGTGTGGAAAGATGACTGTTATTTATTTCAGCTTCAGCTTTCAGAGACTCCGGTCCCCTACTTCGGATACAATCATCTTGACGTTTGCAAACTAGGATTGGAGTAGAAGATGGTGAATGTCAATTACTTACTTTGTATAGAAGATCTGTTTTCCAATTTAAAGCCAGAGGTGTTGTATTTCGAATTCCAAGGAAGCTGCAAAGTCAAGATGACTCCACCCTGCACCTTCACCCGGGACACAGAGCCATTTCTGCAGAAGTGTCCAATGTTGACCCTGTCCCTATTCAGACGGCTACCAATGTGATAAAGGACTTGATCTGAGCAAGTATCTCCGGGTTGAATTTGTTTTAATGATGGGGAGAACTTGAGCTCAATGCCACTGTGCTGATCAACTTTAACGTCCCAAACAAAGGTCCTGTTAAGACTTGGTAATCCAAAAGGTTGAAGCAGAACATCACCAAAAGGGCATTGTCCAGACATACAATCTAGAAAAATACAAATCTACATTAGAAAGAATCGTAACCACATACAAGGATTTGCRTTTTAAAGTTTGCGTTTATATTGATATCTTGTCTTCATTTTCTACAGCCATTCTATACCTGTAAGTCCTATAAATAATACCCCCCCCCCCCCCCCAGATCAGCCACCTAGGAAAAATGAAGTAATGGTGTTTCATGTTATATCGAAGACATCACATATCGCTTACCATATGTAAAGAGGCTTATGTTCAATTAATTGATCCTTACCTTCATTCTGGCTTAAGTAGCTGCTATATATCTAACAGAACATTGGATTATTAGTTGGTCCCTAATATGTATCACACAGAAAAATAAAAGTAATGGTCTCAAAGTTGAGTCTTGATCAGGTTCCTCCATCCTGCTACTTTGGACTACATTCCACATATATTGGACCATATTCCAATTATAGCAGAATTATATTCCAGTTATAGCAGAACTAATGATCATACTGGCTGTGGGCAATGTGGGTTAGAGTCAAATATCGGATAGACATCAAGTTGGGAAAGACTGACTTCGGCCCCTTCTACACTGCCATATAAAATCCAGATTATTTTATTTTAACTGGATTATGTGGCAGTGTAGACTCGTATAATCCAGTTCAAAGCAGTTAATGTGGGTAATTTGATAATTGATCATTTGATTTGATAATTTGGATTTTATTTATTTATTTATTTATTTGAAACATTTATATTCCGCCCTTCTCAACCCGAAGGGGACTCAGGGTGGTCCACAGCATATATACAGCAAACATTCAATGCCGGGACAAGCATTCATTATATGCATACATAAACATTAAAAACATTTATCTCAATATTAAAATGCACTGTTTAAAACTGTCTTGGCAGTATAGAAGGGACCTTAGATAGTGGGAAGACAACTGTCTACTGAGGTAAGCAAAGCATTTGGGAACCATGAATGAAACCGACTCAAGTAAAAGGTTTTATCAAGACAAGAAAAGCAACTAGACATGAGATTAAGTGGAAAGAATCAAGCAAGGCAAAGTGACCATCAGACCTCCTTCCACTACAGTGAAATAGTGAGCGAAAAAAGGAAAATATCTGTCTCCTGTGGCAGATGCAGCTCAGGTCACATTCACCCTTTTCTCCAATTTCTCCAAAGGCTTCCCCCATGTGATGGGGGCAGTTGGGAAGCCACAACAGAGGGAGGTGTGGGGCAACAAGTCCCCACGCTCCCACGCAAGATCGCCACCAGGACATAGTGAGATGCCTTCATTCCGGTGTCACATCTGACAAAGTCCTTGGAGAACACATCTATCCTGATGACTTAAGAGGGAATGAAACCAAAGAATAGATCTGAATAAACGTATGTACACCAAACCATCAGACAACGAAGATGTCACTATCATAGCCATCCATGTGGATAATTTCAGGTTTTGGAGTATTTTAAGATTTCTGGATAAAGGATGCTCAACCAATAATAGAAAAATTACTTTTTTAAAACCAATATCCCAAATCCATGCTAGATAAGGAACTTCAGGAGTAGAAATCGAAAATAACATTTTTGACTTATGGACCAAAGACTAGAAGTCCTTCAGCCCTCACCTCTAGATCTGACATCCGAGATGAGGACAAGCCCCATGACCTCATAGACAAGTCCCTTCACCCTACAGCTCTATTCTGGCGTCTGGCAAATAGTTCCTGTTGATAACCATCCATGTTACTTTAAAGAGGTTTCCAACCGATTAGTAAGAGATCTAGCAACTCAGCTTACCAATGTTCTTCTCCACCAACAGGACCCAATGCCTCTCCGGAGTTGAACAGCTGAAAGTAAAATCAGGCCGTTCTCCTGGATTTATTTTTTGTTCAGTAAAATATTGCTTTCCGCCTGTACGAATACCACAGGTTTTAAGATCTGGATATCCAGGTTTTATCCAAATCGTTACATTGAAAATGCGAAAAAGGTTGATCTCAAAGGCACCTGAAAAGATAAAGGGAGAGAGTTAAATTGTACATCATGTTACTTGCTTCTAGTTGCCATATTAGGCTCTTGCAGTAGAGTTGGCTTTAAACTACTGGCAAGAACAGTTTGAGCCTCCAAATGTTTTGTAACTGAATTTCCCATCATTCCTCGCCACTGCCTATATTAGTGAAAACTGCTGAGAGCTGCAATTCAATAACATCTTGAGGGATGCCCCAGATCCAGATCATCAAAACTTATAATGAGTTAGTTCTTTAAAGGCTGAAAACACTCAGCCTTTCAAGTGCTAGAATACAGTTATTACATATTTGGTAAATTCAATGACAATGTTTTTATCCCATTTTCACTTAATCAAAGAAGAACTGACCTTTCGCCTCATTATTTCAATTTCAACAAATATATTTGGTCTTCATATGCACACACATACATATATCTAAACACACATATATCATATACCTAAACACACACAAAAGCCATACACTCACTTAAAAATATAAAGATTTATTTCTGGTCATACACTTGCAACAGTTTATTGCACAACAGATTTCCGGCCTTCACAGATTGAAATCATAATTTGTAACTGGAATGTTTACCAGGATTACCAAACAAGAAAGAACCCACTTCATACTTGCAGACGACAAATCAAAATTTGAACAATTTGAGAAGCATATACAGACAACCAAGGAGGTAGAAGAATTTCTGTGAAGAAACCTTATAAAGCTATTGTGATACGCAGTAGAATAATTGTGGCTCAGGTCAAGTCTGTTCAAATATGGATAAAGTTGTATGATTATTATGCCACGCTAAAGAAAATTCGCTAAAGGTGCACCAGTGCCCCCTATTCACTACCATTGTCATTTTCCCATTTTGCTCAAGACAGCATTGAGATGATGCTTCTTTTGGGGTATTGCAGGAAGGACTAAGCTCTCCTTTTTTGCTATTCAGAGAAGGGGATGCACTCCTTACTAATAAGAATTCAGATACAGTAGTTACACTGATTCATGATAAAAAAAACAGGTTATTTGGACTAAAATGTCTAGACTTATATATGAATTTATACAAAAGTGCACGCCCTATTCTCATTTACCAGAAAGGTAACGTTCAAGATCCTGCAAGGAAAACTCCAGCAATACATGGAGCGAGAGTTGCCAGATGTACAAGCTGGGTTCGGAAAAGGCAGAGGAACGAGAAACCAAATTGCCAATATCCGCTGGATAATGGAGGAAGACGGGAAGTTTCAGAAAAACATCTATTTCTGTTCTATTGACTATTCTAAAGTCTTTGACTGTGTGGATCATAATAAATTGTGGCAAGTTCTTGGTGGTATGGGCATACCAAGTCACCTTGTCTGTCTCCTGGGGAATCTGTATAATGACCAAGTAGCAACAGTAAGAACAGACCATGGAACAACAGACTGGTTCAAGATTGGGAAAGGAGTACAGCAAGGCTATATACTCTCACCCTACCTATTCAACTTGTATGCAGAACACATCATGCAGGGCTTGACGAATCCAAGACTGGAGTTAAACTTGCTGGAAGAAACATTAACAACCTTAGATATGCAGGTGATACCACTTTGTTGGTTGAAAGCATGGAGTAGCTGAAGAGCCTTCTAATCGAGGTGAAAGAAGACAGTGTAAAAGCTGGGTTGCAGTTAAACATTAAAAAAACCAATATTATGGCAACCAGACTGACTGATAAGTGGAAAATAACGGGAGAAAAAGTGGAGACTGGGACAGACTTTGTATTTCTAGGAGCAAAAATTACTGGAGACGCAGACTCTAGCCAGGAAATCAGAAGACATTGATTTCTTGGGAGGAAAGCAATGGTCAGTCTTGAGAAAATAGTGAAGAATAGAAATATCACACTGACAACAAAGATCTGCATAGTTAAAGAAATGCTATTCCCCATAATACCCTATGGATGTGAGAGTTGGACCATAAGGAAGGCTGAGCCAAGGAAGATTGACGTTTTTGAACTGTGCTATTGCAGGAAAATTCTGAGAGTGCCTTGGACCACAAGAAGGTCAAACCAGTCCATACTCCAGGAAATAAAGCCCAACTGCTCACTGGAGGGAAGGATATTAAAGGCAAAGATTTGGCCACATAACGAGAAGACAGGATAGCTTGGAGAAGATGATGATGCTGGGGAAAATTGAAGGAAAAAGGAAGAGGGGTCAACCAAGGGCAAGATGGATGGATGTTATCCTTGAAGTGATTGGCTTGACCTTGAAGGAACTGGGGGTGTCCATGGCCAACAGGGAGCTCTGGCGCGGGCTGGTCCATGAGGACACAGAGTTGGAAACGACTGAATGAATAAACAACAACATTTGCCATGCCACCTTCTTATGAACCACTTGGACAGAATGTGCTTGACAACTTCTCCTTTGGGGAAAAATTCTCTACAATCAACTGTGTTCTGAAAGCTTTAATTGGAAGATTAATTAACTAAAGCTTTCGCTGATTAAAAATGTGGCTTCATCAAGATCCAGAGTTAATTGTTGTCTTTGAACTACCTTGTTTGTTGTGAATGATGGCAATCAGGAGCAACAGGGAAAAAATGGTTCCCTGGCCTCTTTCCTTCTTTTTGTTCCGTAAAGTGAAAATTCCCACAATTGCAAAAGAAAGCTCTACACTGGAGTTCCAGAAAAGTGCAAATTTAGATTTCCAAGTCTCTGATTAATCAAATCAATTGGACATCCTCAGTATTCTGAATCTGTTCACAGCTGTATAAAGGACTGCTTGCTTCAACTATGACCCATTCCCAACAAAGACAGGCTGACGTTGATAATAGCAAAGAGGAATAAACGTTGAACTGCTTTGTGGACTTTCCCAGAGTCAGAAAATGGCAAAGTTCACTTCTGCTAATCCATATACAAATCCAAAAGATATCGGGAAAGTAAAAGCAGCATCATTTGAAGGATAAGCAAATACCTCTACTCACTAAATATTTAGGATCACAAGATAAGCAAAGGTTTTACTCTACTCAATATTGGAACATAAAGACTCATCTACCATCTGGAGAAGGAAGCAAATGTAACCTTCCATTAAGCAGAGTGGCTTTCAAGTACAGCGAGGGCAATATGAGTCATGATGAAGAAAGAGAGAGAGAGAAACCATGTGTGTTTAAAGTCTACGTTTCTCTCAGCAAGTATCCTGTGGGGATTACAAGAAATGCACATTGTACTCAGAAGGAGGGAATTTCTTTGGGTTGTAAGCCATAATTTTATCATGATGATACACCGGATGATTGCACAGTTGGACTCTCCCAAAGGAGATTTTGCCTCCTTGCTCAGCCAATGGGCACACATGGAAATATAGACCAATGAAGAAAAAGAGAAGGCGTAGTGTCCATCCAAGTGGTTATCCTCATCCAATTGCACCAGTTGCTTCCATGCTAGTGGAGCAATGGAGTCACCTCAGTATTTAGTTCCATTGAACTAAATACTACACAGCTGAACTGCATTATTTGACAGTGTAGATGGGGCCAGAGTCTATTCAAGTTTAAGGTAGATTATCACAGTCTTTATTTACATTACATTCAAGATTCTTCTTGCCTTTTTAACTATTTTTTTAAAAGACAAGATGCCAAAATGCTTGGAATCTCTTCTACAAATAACTTCAGCAATGACATATACATAGGGGGCCATGGTGGCACAGTGGGTCAAACTGCTGAGCTGTTGAACTTGCTGACCAAAAGGCCGCCAGTTCGAATCTGCAGGACGAGGTGAGCTCCCTTTGTTAGCCACAGTTTCTGCCAACCTAGCAGTTCGAAAACATGCAAATGTGAGTAGATAAATAGGTACCGCTCCAGCGGAAAGGTAACAGCGCTTCATGCAATCATGTCGGCCACATGACCCAGGAGGCGTCTACTGACAATACCAGGTCATTGGCTTAGAAATGCAGATGAACACCACCCCCCCAGAGTCAGACTGGACTAGACTTAATGTCAAAGAGAAACCTTTATCTTTACTAATATCATATGCACAAAATGGGAAAGATCACCTCCAATCATGAGCTGTTCAATAGGGAGAATACAGATGCTATAAGATTTGTAAGTACTGTAGGATATATTCAAGAGCCAGCATGGTCTAATGGTTTGAATATTGGGCTATGGCATTGGAAACCAGGGTTCAAATCCTCATTCACCCATGGAAATCGACTGGATGACCTTGGCCAAGTCACACACTCTTGGTCTCAGAGTTAGGCCAAAATAACCTAGCTCTGAATAAATCTTGCCTAGAACACCCTGTGACAGGGTCACTTTAAGGTTGCCACAAGCTAGAAATGTTTGGAGGTGCACACAACAATGATGTCATGAGAAGGGCAATAGCAAACCATCTCCATATATTCATTGACTAAGAAAACACTATAAAACTATAGTACTGTGAGAATCATTTTATTTACATTTTAAAGCATAAAAATTATTATGCCCACCTGTTGTCTTCAGAACAAAAATTAGCAATTAATTTCATTAGGCAAATAGGGAGTGCCGCCTAACTCCCATTCTCCTGGATGTTTTTCTGCTCTTACTTCCTTGCATCTGCTTTTTCTGCAAGAGGGATCTTTCCTCTCCATACTAGGAATAAATCTGAATACAAATACAACTGCAGAAAAGGAGTTGAACAGGGTTTTTTCCCCATGAATTCCCATGGAATTCCTTCTATTTATCCCAAGTATAAAACTTTACATGAAGGACCATTGCTCTGAGTGGGGATTACGGTAGGTCTGGGGTGGAACAAAAAAAAGTGCCAAAAACTAAAGGACTTCCCTCCTTGTTGTATACCAGGAAGTAGAGGAGATGCCATCAAGTCAGAACTTTGGAGCATAAGGACAGGATCTCACTGATCAGACCTTGAAGCACGCCAAAGTTCTGGCATATCACATTTTAATTATGAATAAAGTAAGACATTAGACATTACTATTAGTATTGAGGGCCCCATATAAGACTACTTAGTCTAGAATCATCAATTACAAGTTGAGCATCCCTTACCTAGAATT